GGCTGTCACAGGCTAAGCTTTATCTGCTCCCCTAACAGAGAGGTACAGACAGGTCATTTCTCTAAGTCTGTGTGGTACACCTGACTGACCGGGGTTGGCAGGGATTACAGTGGGACACTAACTGCTTGGAGACAGTTGTCTATGAGCTCAGACTGGGCACTTAGTATGATTACCCTGGCCTCTTAGCTACTGGTAATTTACCAAAGTTACCGGAATATTTGGTAATATTTGGTAATTAACAGAAAATATATGGCAATCTATCGTAACTTTGGTAATTCTGAACTTGAATAACAAAAAATGAAATGTATTGAGTATACCAAATATTAGCAACAACTTTTGCCCTCAGAACAACCTCAATTCATCTTGGCATGGACTCTACAAGGTGTCGAAAGCGTTCCACAGGGACGCTGGCCCATGTTGACTCCAATACTTCCCACAGTTGTGTCAAGTTTGCTGGATGTCCTTTGGGTGGTGGACCATTCTTGATATTTTATTTATTTAACTAGGCAAGCCAGTTAAGAACAAATTCATATTTACAATGACGTCTTGACACAAACCATACCCCGTTCAAAGGCACTTACATTTTTTGTCTAGCCCATTCACCCTCTGAATGGCACACATACACAATCTGTCTCAATTGTCTCAAGGCTTAAAATCCTTCTTTAACCTGTCTCCTCTCATTCATCTATGCTGATTGTATTAGTCCTGTGTAGCTCAGTTGGTAGAGCATGGTGCTTGCAACGCCAGGGTTGTGGGTTCGATTCCCATGGGGGGCCAGTATAAAAATGAAGTATGCACTTACTAACTGTAAGTCGCTCTGGACGAGAGTGTCTGCTGAATGACTAAAATGTAAAAATGTAGTGGATTTAACAAGTGACATCAATAATGGACCATAGCTTTCACCTAGTCAATCAATTCAAGTTTTATTGGTCACATACACATATTTAGCAGATGTTATTGCGGGTGTAGCAAAATGCTTGTGTTCCTAGCTCCAACAGTGCATTAGTATCTAACAACTCACAACAATACACAAATCTAAATGTAAATTAATGGAATTAAGAAATATATAAATATTAGGACGAGCAATGTCGTAGTGGCATTGACTAAGTACAGTAGAATAGAATACAGTATGTAAACATTATTAAAGAGACTAGTGTTCCATTATTAAAGTGGCCAATGATTCCATGTCTATGTATATAGGGCAGCAGCCTCTAAGGTGCAGGGTTAAGTAGCCGGGTGGTAGCCGGCTAGTGATGGCTATTTAACAGTCTGATGGCCTTGAGATAGAAGCTGTTTTTCAGTCTCGGTCCCAGCTTTGATGCACCTGTACTGACCTCGCCTTCTGGATGATAGCGGGGTGAACAGGCCGTGGCTCGGGCTTTTTGGCCTATGTCATGGAAAGAGCAGGTGTTCTTAATGTTTTGTATACTCAGTGTATAGTATTCATTTGTTATATCTGCCCCGTATTATCCATGAGTTTCTAGTAGATAGACCATGTGGTTCAAGAGAAAATAGCCTAATTAATGAAAAAAGCATCTAATCAACAATGACATTATTTTCACTCTTACAACTCGTACAACTATTGACCTTTTCCACAACTGCCATCAGTTTGACACCAAAACATTGACAATGAATACATAATAAAAATGTGTGGGGAAAAAATTGAAATTATATTTCATGCTGAAAACCTCATATTAAACACCAATGGTATTCACTAAGTTGATGGTTTATATTTAGGATTTATTTTTACAGCTGTCGTTCTACTTTAAAATCATATTATTGAATTATTTCATATATTTTACATGTGATGAGGCCACACAGAGGGCCAGAGATAATTACAGACACCTGTGATAATATCAAGTACCCGAAAGGGCCACTAGATGTCTTGTGATAGGTTACATAAAATATTTTAACGATATCAAAATGCTGGTAGTTTACTGGTAAGCTTATAAAGCTTCCAGTAAATGCCCTCCCTTTGCAACCCTAGCACTGTCATATGCCCAAATGCATCACCTGATCGAATGCCCTGGCATATGCCCAAATGTATCAGCTAATCGAATGAATGCCTTGGCAAATGCCCAAATGTATATGACAGAGGTCTTGATATGCCCAATGTATGACAGAGATCAAGGCCCTGACATACAGTATGTCAAAACATACAATACCAGTCAAAAGTTTTAGAACACCTACTCATTCACGTGTTTTCCTTTATTTGTTAAAACAATTTTTACATTGTAGAATAATAGTGAAGACATCAAAACTATGAAAGAACACATATGGAATCACATAGTTACCAAAAAAGTGTTAAACAAATCAAAATATATTTGAGATTCTTCAAACAGCCACCCTTTGCCTTGATGACAGCTTTGCACACTATTGGCATTCTCTCAACCAGCTTCATGAGGTAGTCACCTGGAATGCATTTCAATTAACAGGTCTGCCTTCTTAAAAGTTAATTTGTGGAATTTCTTTCCTTCTTAATGTGTTTTAGCCAATCAGTTGTGTTGTGACAAGGTAGGGGGGGTATACAGAAAATAGCCCTATTTGGTAAAAGACCAAGTCCATATTATGGCAAGAACAGCTCAAATAAGCAAAGAGAAACGACAGTCCATTATTACTTTAAGACATGAAGGTCAGTCAATATGGAAAATGTCAAGAACTTTGAGCGTTTCTTCAAGTGCAGTTGCAAAAACCATCAAGCACTATGATGAAACTGGCTCTCATGAGGACTACCACAGGAATGGAAGACCCAGAGTTACCTCTGCTGCAGAGGATAAGTTAATTAGAGTTACCAGCCTCAGAAATTGCAGCCCAAATAAATGCTTCACAGAGTTCAAGTCACAGACACATCTCAACATCAACTGTTCAGAGGGGACTGTGTGAATCAGGCCTTCATGGTCGAATTGCTGCAAAGAAACCACTACTAAAAAACACCAATAAGAAGAAGAGACCTGCTTGGGCCAAGAAACACGAGCAATGGACATTAGTCTGGAGTCCAAATTGGAGATTTATGGTTCCAACCACCGTGTCTTCTTGAGACACAGTGTGGGTGAACGGATTATCTCCACATGTGCAGTTTCCACCGTAAAGCATGAAGGAGGAGGTGTTATGGTGTGGGGGTACTTTGCTGGTGACACTGTCTGTGATTTATTTAGAATTCAAGGCACTTAACCAGCATGGCTATCACAGCATTCTGCAGCGATACACCATCCCATCTGGTTTGGGCTTAGTGGGACTATCATTTGTTTTTCAACAGGACAATGACCCAACACACCTCCAGGCTGTGTAAGGGCTATTTTACCAAGACGGAGAGTGATGGAGTGCTGCATCAGATGACCTGGCCTCCACAATCCCCCGACATCAAACCAATTGAGATGGTTTGGGATGAGTCGGACCGCAGAGTGAAGGAAATGCAGCCAACAAGTGCTAAGCATATGTGGGAACTCCTTCAAGACTGTTGGGAAAGCATTCCAGGAGAAGTTGGTTGAGAGAATGCCAAGAGTGTGCAAAGCTGTCATCAAGGCAAAGGGTGGCTATTTGAAGAATCTCAAATATAAAATATGTTTTGATTTGTTTAACACTTTTTTTGGTTACTACATGATTCCATATGTGTTATTTCATAGTTTTGATGTCTTCACTATTATTCTACAATGTAGAAAATAGTAACAAATAAAGAAAAACCCTTGAATGAGTAGGTGTGTACAAACTTTTGACTGGTACTGTATATGATCCAAGCAGAGCAAGCAGGTTTTTTGTATGCTTTGTTATCAGTAGATTAGGCACTGAGAAAATACAGTATGCCCAACTAAGCAGAAAAATAGCTGTTGTGGTTCATTAACTTCAGTCTGCGTAGAGTATAATTATAATCTCAACTATGCGTATCTGTCTGAGAAACTTGACAGGCACGCACCAGAAGAGGAATTCAAGGTGATAAAATGTGCCTCACTGGGAAATGTACAGCTTTGGAGCGACAGGTGTTTTCAATTCTCGTAAAGCACACACCCCTGACGTCACTTTGCTCATAAACAGGATTAACAGAGGTGTTAGCGAACCATTAACATACTGTATTTATAAACATCATGTAATACACCTGTATTTTATTACTTCTGTCTGCTGATCAATGACTTTTACATTTAATCTTAAACTCTGAAAACTTATTGCAATTCACCATGGACACCTGGCTTAATCAGTTGGTTTTATGTATTATCAAAACGAACATAGAACTTTTAGATTACTTTATAGCAATTATATTCAATGTGTTTTTCAATTCAGTAAATCAAAATGTAAGTAACATAACATAGATGTGTACATAGAGAAAACTATGACAAGGAAAACTTTACAGGACTCCAGGAGGAAAGCATGGTATATTGATAATAATTGGTATATTGGGAAACAAAAGCAAAGTAACTGAACTAGGGAACACAGGCAGCTTCCTGTCTTTGATATTACCTACATCTTGCCTGTAAACATTCCGTAGACATACAGTGGAAGAGGCTAAAAAAGACACCTGACAAAGTGGGCCCTGATTACCTAGATAAGCTTAAAGTCTTACGTGTCTGTGTGTGTGTTTGTGCACGTGTGTGTGTGAGCGTAATTCACTTAATTTGACCATCTGTGCATGCTAAAGGAGAGAGAAGAAGAGTCCTCCAATCCTACGTGATCCTTTCAGCTACTCAGTCTCTCTAGCTCTGTTACGTGGGTAGGACCTCATAGCTTCCAGAAGCCTCATCTACGAACCCCATAGGAATGCCGGTATGATCCATCTATTCAAGAACCCAGTAAAGAAGATTGATTTAGAGGCTGAATTGTTATTGAGTGTTCGTAAGATATGCACCCTGCTGAACACCCAAGTTTTCATCGGCAATCAGACAGAAGCACCGATGGATGAGCAGGACTATCCACACTTATTAGGCTAAAGATTTGGTTCTGTCTCTCTATTGAAATCACATCACAAACGTACATTTTTAATCCAGAGTCTTTTTCAACGTCTGCATGTAAAAATGGGCTGTTCCCCATCCAAAGGTCATCTCTTCCCGGGGATCCCAAATGGGGTCCACAAGGCTCTGCTGCCAGTACCACAAGAGGTGGGTAACATCAAGCCTGTTGAGGGAGAAAACCAAGATGTTGACAATACGGATATTAACGAAGAAGTAGAGGAACTCCCACTATCAGCTGAAGATGATAATCCTAAGGCCGCCCTGGACGTGGCCCCGAATACAGCCGTTGTGTCAAATCTAGGGGCCATCTCTGAAATAAAGGTCAAAATGACATCACAGGTGAGAGATATACAGAGTGAGGAAGTACCGGAAAAGCAGGCGAAAAAGGTCAAGAAGCGAAAGAAGAATAAGGGCGTCAAACAGGGCAGCCGAAGAGAAAAGGAGATAAACACCTCAGTCATCCAGGGGAAGGTGGACCTTCCCCTGCACATGGTGAGAGCTCACCAGGCCGCCTACGAATACCTGAACCCCAACATCTCCAAGTGTGAGACCCTGCTGGGGCTGCTGGACCAGGCCGCCCAGACCCAGCTCTCCCTACAGCCCATGATGACAGCCATTGTGATGCGCTTCGAAGAGGTCAACCAGGCCCTGGAGGAAATGGCTGAGGAGGGGGAGCTGATGCTGAAGGAGCATGGCAACCACATGGCCTGGCCCTCCGAGACAAGGGACCCAGCTTCCACCCCCGCCAAGCCCAATGCTGACCCATCAGAACCCCCTCCAGACCTGCTGCAGCTGCTGCTCCAACATTCTACTGAAAAGATGAAGCTGGTGGGGAGCTCGATCCAAGGCCTGGGAGACACCACTCTGGAAGAGGCGGCGGACTTCTTCGCCTCACTATCTAAACTACTGGGAGAGAGGCTGCAGGCCAAGCGGGCAGTAGAGGAGCGTCTGAGCCAGGTGCTGGCGCGCGTGGAGGCAGCTGCCAAGTGCAACCTTGATGACTTGTCCCTGCACAGCGAGGACAGCGGCATCGGGGGAGAAAATGAGTCGCTGATGGGATCAGAGCGCTACCGTCGCCAATGGGGGAGCTCTGGGTCCGGTGGCAGTGCACGCCCCACACCCCCAAGCCATTCACCTGACCAGGTATGCCTTAATGAAGGTGAGGAGGAGGAAGAAAACGAGGAAGAAGATGGTGATAAAGATGAAGAGGAAGAAGAGGAAGAGAGGTCAGGGAGGGTGCGGTCCAACTCATCCCCGCCAGACCCCATTCAGACCCCCAAGCACAGCGAAGGGCAGCCACCCAAACGACCCCAGACAGCTGCCCCCTCGGGCAGGCCGGTGAGACCACCACGGTCACAGTCCACAGAATCTCTACATGTTCAGGAGCTGCAACAGAAAGACCTGGACCAACGGATGGGAAACTACTCTCTGAGAAGACACGCTTCAGGGGGGCAGAGGGTTGCTAGATATGGACTCAAAGGGTCCACAAAGGCAAACCAAGCACCAAATGTTCTACCAGCTATAGCACCACAACCCCCTGGGCGCAACTCTGTCAAAAGACTCATAAACACATTCAGTAGTGGGGTGGATGGCAGACCAGGCCAAAGTCTACCTAGTGCACACCTTAGGGGGTCTAGGAGCAGTGGAACTCCCCTCTTACCCGACATTGGAAGTGGAGAGGACATTGTCAGTGGCAACAACAATAAGAACATCTGGGCAGTGGAAGGCGGGGAGGGCCTGGACGATGACAACCTGCCCCCCCCTCCCCCTGAGGTCCTGATGGACAACTCCTATGAGAGCAATGAGGAGAAGCCGGATGATGAGGAAGGGGAAGAGGAGGACACCGACAGTAGGGGCCACCCTGTGCCACGCCAAAGGAGCACCACCTCTCAGCGCCTGAGGGCCTCGTTGCAGAGCATGACGGTGCTGCCTAACCGTGGCAGTGTCGGACCAATCAGACAGAATGCCGTGACGGGGGGCGGGCAGCAGCCAGCCTCTGAGGGCGACCAAGAGAGTGAGCAGGCCGCCTCTCTCTACCGTCAGGCCCGCAAGATCATCCACCTGCGCAACGCAGCTGAAGCCTCTGCAAACAGACCTGACCAGGGGGTCCGAGGACCCCTCAGAGCTGGGGTGAGTCTCAGGCAAGGAAGCAACGACCACTATGAGGGGGAGTATTACCCCACCAGCATGCCACCAACTGTCCCACCAGTCTCCAGAGTTCGCCTACCACCCTCATGTCCCTCTACGCACCACAGACTACCAAGCCCCCCTGCTTTCGCACAGCCTAATCCACCCTCACGTCCATCCTCTCCCCGGGTCCTTAGATGGAGCAGAGAGGACAGTGGTGAAGACATGTCACCCTCAGTGTCCTTCAACGATGCCCGATCTGTGTTCTGTCAAAATAGCCAATCGAATTCCCAGAGCTGGACCCCCTCCTATAGCTCTACGCTCCCCAGGCCCTATGGTGAGCCCTCCCGGGGAAGGCTGTCCACACGCGGGTCCCAGACTGTCAGTCGGCGCAGCCAGTCTGACCAGAGACCCAGCCTGACAACGCAACGAGAGGAGTCGTCCAACCCAGGCACACCACAGGGCCGGACTCGAGGAAGTGAGCCAAATATGGCCAGAAGCAGTGAGAGGTGAGTGTTTCCCTTTACTCCTTTTGTCTAGCTACCAGTTTAGTACATCTTAGGTGGATATTAGGCCAAAGGCTTCCAAATTCATGTAAATGCAGAATTATGATCACATGTTAGAAAGTAAATAAACAAAAATAGCAGAGAATAGTGAATAGAAAGAGAAACAGATACATTAGTTAACCTACAAAAGTAGAAATTCAACTTGATAATATCTCAATTAACTACAGTATCTATGATCAAATCAAATAAAACGTTATTTATATAGCACATTTCTTAAAAGGTGAGAGATAAAAACACAATACATTTTCTAAATTAGGAGACAAAGGTCAATACTTTTGACTCCAAGCAGATGGTATCTGATTCCATCAGCTGTCACTCAGTGGGGGTGTGTATGTAGCAAGGCTCAAGCGGAGCTAACAGACCTAGCTATCACCCATAGACAATGATAGAGGCCTCTAGTGGCCAAAAGGCCGTTTTTGCATGAGCAACGCCATTGCGGGCTTCCACCATTTTAATGTAGTCAACTGGGTGGGACTTCCAACTTCATTGGCTGATCCATCATGGTGACCCTGTTGGAGTCATGTCCAACCGGGTCATCAGGAGAGATCAGCTAATCGTGAAGAAGAAAATGTACTACTTCAAAATGGGGATAGCCTCAATGGCACTGTCCATGCTGTCACAGACGCTATTATGGCACAGATACAGAGATGAGTCCTCTATCTATCTCTATGCTATCCCCTTCAGCTAAGAACATCATCTTAAAACAGAACGTGAATCCACAGTTGGTAGATTCATTTGAGCAACAATTTAGAATGACCATTTAGGAATTTAAATGCTCAATATTCAAATGAAATGACACCTACACACTTTCTACTTAGGATTTATTGAAGTATTTTTTATTTATTTAAAGTAATCTCTAACTGTTAAAGTAATAAATAACTTGTCAAAAGAGCATAGCGCAAACAATCAAACATTTATTCTACATTTCTCAACTATAAATAATCACAACAACCTAGCTAGAAGTGTTTACTTGATACAAGAGCCATTCCGTAACATTAAACATAAGCACACTTTAGTAGCCCTAACCATTTTGATGAACAGATGTGACCTGAGATTTAACTTAGAGGCAAAACAAAATAGGTAGAACAACAAATACGTTATACAGCTTTACGAATACGGCACCCTGCGCAATTTTCAAGCTTCTTTAAATTCCTACAGACACCTGAGGATCCTTCACAGGTGGAGTAGGTGGGAGGTCCTCTGTAGCTCAGCTGGTAGAGCACGGCGCTTGTAACGCCAAGGTAGTGGGTTCGATCCCCGGGACCACCCATACACAAAAAAAAAAAAATGTATGCACGCATGACTGTAAGTCGCTTTGGATAAAAGCGTCTGCTAAATGGCATATTATATTTATATTATTATGAGTAACTGGTGTATTCAACGGCAACTAGAGCGAAACAAGTCATGTGGCATTTTGATGGATAGGTTTTCTAGGTAGTGGGTGTGATCGTCTCATTGTTTATCAGATACATCAACTTTGTCTATGTGGGTTAACAATCGTCATGCCACTGTAAATTCCCAAGTCTGCATAACAAATGTGTGCTTAAGGGTAAGTCTAGACCAGAGTAGGCGCGTAAACAAGATGGCGTATTGAATAGAAATCGGTACAAAACACCTCAAGATAAAAACATAATATTCAAAATCAGTAAGTTAGACTAAATATTAGCATTTCATATATTCGCAGTTAATATAATTCAATCTGGATAATAACAGAAATAAGATCATAAGGCTAGAGAAATATATCGACAAATATTACTACAACAAGCCACACCCAAACATGACTGAAGACAAGCGTGGAGAGCCGATCCCCAAAAGAAAACGCGACTCATCGACAGATACAGATGATATATGCTTTTCACCACTAGGTATGGTAAGTGTGGAAAGCGACCTGTTGAAGTCGATAAATGACAAATTGGGCATACTAGAACTGGTCAGTAAAGACGTAAAAGAGTTGAAAGCGAGTCTTCAAATGAGTGACGAAAAAGCTTTGGTAATGGAGAAAGAAACCAAAGAAATAAAAGTGACAGTCTCTAAAATGGAAACGGACGTTAGGGAATTAAAAAAGGAGAACAATCTTCTGAGAGAAGCCTTACTAGACATCCAAACTAGATCGATGAGGGAAAATCTAGTACTTACGGGTATTCAGGAAAAGGAGGGAGAAATAACAGAGAATATTATGAAGGACTTCCTGCATACAGCGCTGCAAATCCCACTCGAGGCTGTCGATAAAATCCAACTCGAACGTGTACATCGTTTCGGAAAAAGAGGACAGAAATATGAGCGCCCAATCGTTGCCAAATTTGCTTTTTTTAAGGACAAAGCTATGGTGAAAAGCCTGGGAAGGAGACTTGCTGGCACGAAAATAGGCATGAATGATCAGTTCCCGAAGGAGATTGTAGAAAGGCGCAAAGTTCTGTATCCAATCTTCAAGGAAAACAGATTAAAAGGGAAACGTGTTGCACTAGTGGTGGATAAATTATATATTGACAACCAAATGTTCAGAGACACAAAGACTACTCCATGGCTATTCTAAAAGTTGTAATGGAGGAGTCAAATATTGGAGCACCTGATACTAGCAATGATAGGGATTGTAATATTAAATAATATTTATAGTAAGTATAGTATTTTATAAATGGATAAAATGATATAACAAGCAGAATAATACATCTTTATATACAAATAATTAGAACATGGATTTTTTGGCGGGAGGTTGTTGTTTTGGCGGATGGTTGTTGTGGTTGGTCCTGTGTTCTCTCTGGCGTCCTTTCCCCCTTGCAGCAGATGTGGATGCGGGTGCGTTTGCACGCTCGGCCCATTTCTTCCGCAGTCAGCCATGTGGTGTGCATTTTTGTGTTTGAAAAGGTACGGCGTTAAGTGAGTGAGAGGGGAAATGGTTGCATATCCCAGAGCCGACCGGGGGTCTATGAACAGGGGTAGTGAGAGAGAGAGCTTTCAATTTTGTGTAGATGAGGGATATACATTTTTAAATATAGTAAACATCTAATCTAATTATTCATTGTCCTATCATGATGGAAAGATCCCTAACCCTATAACCTGGACACCCACCTGAGCGACCCATACACCAAAGAGAAGTTCCCATCTATTTTATGGACCTGCTGTGAATATGCAGCCTAAATAGAGAAATAAATGCGGTCAGAGACCTACTTGAGCAGCACCGCCCCCTCAAGATTCTGAGCCTGCCTGGCAGGGTTGGTCCTACAAAGCCAGAGCCCCCTGATGGGAGAGCATAATATACAAGGAAATTCTCAAAGCTGCTAATGAGAACCTTGACGACCTTTTACCTAGCCGGTGGGGATTCCGGTGGGGTACGCCCACCCAGGTAGTGGCAGTGCTGGCAACACTGGCTGCAGTAACCCATGGGGAGGGGGTCACACTCGGACAATCAGAGAGGGGGTTTATCATTGTGGCCCAGGTGGCACAAAATAATCAAAGGTCTGACCGCATGGAGATGCTTGGGAAAATGGTTACAACAGGGGATCAGAGTGTTTGTGTCTCAGGTGAAGAGGGTGGATCTGACCTCCATCACCTAGGACTTGACATAGATTAAGTAGATTAATCAAATCTCACATTGTTGTCAATTTCTGCTCAATTTGCATGCTTTCTCAATCAGCTTTAACTGTATGTGCACTCGTAGATCAAGTTATTTCTCGGGTTGGGCTCTGGGATATAACAGCCGTTGAGTATTGGATTTTATGGTGGATTGTGGAGGAGGGGGGTTGAGTGTGTTGGAGTATGTGAGTATGTGCGTGTGTGCTGGTCTGGCATCTGTTGTGGGGGGGGGTGGGGATGTTGGGGGGGGGGGGGGTATGGGATGGACCGCGGGAATTATTTGCTAGGATAATAATTGCTTGTCAATGAATTAAATGTAATATAATGGCAATCCTGGTTATATGTTAGAATCCTATGCGTGAACTGCCGACATTATTACGCATATTAATTGATAATGATGGAAAATAGGATATGCATAATAAAATAAATAAATAATAGTTATATAGATATATATATATAGAGGTGAAAGCATTGGAAATGCTTTTGGCGGTTAACCTGCTTCTGTTTTGTGGGTGGCACTGTGTGCTGTTTTCGATGGATGGGTCCTGGCCTCTCAGGGCCTTAGGGATACGGAGGGACGTGGGGGGGATGCTGATCACTGGGATGACGGCTCAACTTGGGATGGGGAGGGGCTTTAGCGGGGGAATTAGTGGAGAACAATTGAAGGGTTACTCCGTAGCAATGCAAATATCACGGTACAGCTATATGGACACTCAATCATTACGCTATTTTTTATTGGTAAATTTACAAACATATATAATGATAAATAGACTTGAAACTTGTATCTCATTATGGTGTATGGTGAAATAAGTATAGCCAGTTATAATTGTAATGGCTTAGCTGATAATAACAAAAGAAGAACAATATTTACATGGCTCAAAGAGAAGGAATATAATATCTATTGTATACAGGAAACTCATTCAACAATTCGAGATGAAGTAGCGTGGAAAAAAGAATGGGGGGGGGGAAATATACTTCTCCCATGGGCAAAGAAATTCAAAAGGGGTGATGATATTAATTAATAGTAATTTCGATCCGAATGTGCAAATTGTCCAAATAGATACGCAAGGTAGATGGATTATTTTAAATATGGTATTGGACAATAAACAGATATGGCTCATTAACCTTTACGGACCAAATAATGATGATCCACAATTCTTTGACAATATATATAATAAATTATCAAGCCTGCAAGCAACTCAAGACAATATTATTATGGTGGGGGATTATAATACTGTTTTAAATAGCTCAATGGACCGAAAAGGAAATCACACCACAAACAATCACCCACATGCTCTTAAGGAAATTGTGAATGTCATGGATACATTAGAACTAGTAGATATATGGAGGCTTAAATATGCTGATCTAGTGAGATATACATGGCGGAGACTGAATCAAGCTAGTCGTCTTGACTTCTTTCTTATCTCATTCTCGTTGGCACCAAAAGTAAAAAAAGTGTTGATAGGGGACAGAATGCGGTCGGACCATCATATAATAGGCATATACATTACTCTGACTGAATTTCCACGTGGGCGAGGATATTGGAAATTTAATCAAAGCCTATTAGATGATAATTTATTTATAATTAGAACAAAGGAATTTATAACTGACTTTTTCCAACATAACTTAGGTACAGCGAATCCCCTTATTGTATGGGACACCTTTAAATGTGCCTTTAGAGGCCATGCAATTCAGTACTCATCTCGAAAACAAAAGCAATTTAGGTCAAAAGAGTTTATACTAAGAAAGGAAATAGAAAGTCTAACAGAACAGATAGATGGCAATAAAAACTGTAACATAGAGGCTCAGAATAAATTAGAGGAAAAACAAAAAGAAATGGAAAAACTTATTCAAGAAAGATCAAGTGTAATATATTATAAAAATAAAGCAAACTGGATGGAATATGGGGAAAAATGCACAAAATTCTTTTTTAATCTTCAACATAGGAATGCTACCAAAAAGAACTTAATGAAACTGGTTACAATTGACGGAGTCACCCATAATTCACCTAATGATATTTTGAAGGAAGAAACAAAGTATTTTAAGCATATGTTTTCTTTTCAGTCGCCTCCATCTCCTCTAACTGAAGCTAATTGTAGAGATTTTTTTCCTATTGATAATGTCAAATTAACAGCCACACAGAAAGACTCATGTGAAGGTGAAATTACAGAGGAGGAACTTCTGGATGCAATTAAAGACTTTAAGTCCGGGAAAACTCCAGGGTTGGATGGCATACCAATCGAGGTATACCAAACCTTTTTTGAAATACTAAGAGGACCGTTATTAGCATGTTTTAACCACTCCTATGTAAATGGTAGATTATCTGACACTCAAGAAGAAGGTCTGATCTCATTATTACTGAAACAGGATACAAGTGGAAAATATAAAGATCCAGTCCATTTACAAAATTGGAGGCCCCTTACACTTCAGTGTTGTGATGCAAAAATCCTAGCAAAATGTATAGCGCATAGAATTAAAAAGGTATTGTCGGATATTATTCATTCTAATCAGACAGGTTTTTTACATGGAAGATACATTGGAGACAATATAAGGCAAGTATTGGAAACAATAGAACACTATGGAAAATATGGGAAACCAGGCCTGCTATTCATAGCAGACTTCGAAAAGGCATTTGATAAAGTTCGACTGGAATTCATATATAAATGCCTGGAGCATTTCAATTTTGGAGAATCTCTTATAAAATGGGTCAAAATCATGTATAGTAACCCTAGGTGTAAAATAGTAAATAATGGCTATTTCTCAGAAAGTTTCAAACTGTCAAGAGGAGTGAAACAAGGTTGTCCACTATCGGCATATCTATTTATTGTGGCCATCGAGATGTTAGCTATTAAAATCAGATCCAATAATAATATCAGAGGATTAGAAATACAGGGCTTAAAAACAAAGGTGTCATTGTACGCAGATGATTCATGTTTTCTTTTAGATCCACAACTAGAATCCCTCCACAGCCTCATAGAGGATCTAGATACATTTTCTAACCTCTCTGGATTAAAACCAAATTATGACAAATGTACTATATTACGTATTGGATCACTAAAAAATACAATTTTTACATTACCATGTAGTTTACCAATAAAATGGTCTGATGGTGATGTGGATATACTCGGAATACATATCCCAAAGGAAATAAATGATCTCACTTCAATAAATTTTAATAGAAAGTTAGCAAAAATAGATAAGATCTTACTACCATGGAAAGGAAAATACCTGTCAATTTGTGGAAAAATCACCCTGATTAACTCTTTAGTATTATCCCAGTTTACCTATTTGCTTATGGTCTTGCCTACGCCTAGCAAACAGTTTTTTAAATTATATGACAAAAAAATATTCAATTTTATTTGGAACGGCAAGCCAGACAAAATTAAAAGAGCATATTTATATAATGAATATGAATTCGGAGGACAGAAATTATTAAATATTAAAGCATTAGACCTATCACTAAAATCTTCAGTCATCCAAAAGTTATACTTAAATCCGAACTGGTTCTCAAGCAAATTAGTAAGATTGTCTCACCCACTGTTCAAGAAAGGCCTTTTTCCCTTTATTCAGATTACAACCTCTCACTTTCAGTTATTTGAAAAGGAAATAATCTCCCAAATGTCACTATTTCTAAAACAAGCCATAGAAAGTTGGTTACAATTTCAATTTAATCCTCCAGAAACGACAGAACAAATAATGCAACAAATATTGTGGTTAAATTCAAATATACTAATTGACAAAAAACCTATATTTATTGACAGAATGTTTAAAAAAGGTATAATCTTCGTAAATGATATCATCGGTAGGACTGGTGGAGTTATGTCGCACATGCAGCTAATAAAAACATATGGAAATGTCTGCTCTACCCAAAATTACAACCAAATAATTGCAGCCATACCGCAAAAGTGGAAGAGGAAAGTTGAAGGGGGAGAAAGTAAGGAACTTGTCTGTCGGCCTTGCATTAAAGAACATAATTGGTTAAGGAAAACTGTGATAAATAAAAAAGTATATCAGTTTCACTTAAGGACCAAAGGATTGACAGCAGTCCCATATAGATTGCAAAATAGTTGGGAAGAGATCTTTGACGTACCGATCCCATGGCATAGTGTTTATGAACTGACACGCAAAACGACACCGGATTCAAAAATTAGAATCTTTCAATTTAAATTATTATATAAAATTCTTGCTACCAATAGAATGTTATTTATATGGGGGATACAATCTTCCCAGCTCTGCAGATTTTGCTGTGAAGAGATAGAATCATTAGATCATTTGTTTTGGTTCTGTCCATTTGTAGCTTGTTTTTGGACACAGGTCCAGGAATGGCTAAAGGATTGCAATATTTACCTGGAACTAACCTTGCAGATAGCATTACTGGGTGATCTGAAAAGTCATAGTCAATCAATCAATAATATAATAATACTTTTAGCAAAAATGTTTATTTTTAATTCACAATCTGTAGAAGCAATGAGAATAGAAAGGTTCAGAACTTTTGTAAAACATCACAGTATGGTTGAAATATATATGGCAAATAGAAATCCTATATGGATGGTGTTAAGAGATAGATGGGAGGTATTGAATAGAGTTGAAGGATGGGACTAATAACAAATAACAACAAATAATAACAAAGATAGCTAATAATGTAAGCATACTGTGTCCATAATAAGTATATAGGTTGTATGTTGGGAGCTTTTGGGAAGGAGCACAGTTAGAAAGATATGGCATTTAGAGGCAAACCGGATGGACATCATGAAGATGATCGGAGAGGTTGAGAGTAGAAGAAGTTCAGGAGAAAAAAAATAAATAGGTGTGTATATGTATATGTATATATATATGTATATATATATATATATATGTATGTGTGTGTGTATGTGTATGTATGTATGTATATATGTATATATATATATATATATATATATATATATATAGATATAGAATTATTGTAAAATTAACTCTGTCCATAAGGTGTAGATAGTGAGTATGGACCGGAAGTAGAGGCCTGGGCGTTGTTGTTCACTAATTTACTCCAAGTAGGGAAAGGATGGTGGGGTTGAAAAGTAATAAAGGGGAATATATATATATAAAAAATAAAAATAAATATGGGGGATTGGAAGTGATGCAGACAATTACATTGATAGAAGATACAATCTATCTGCAATATTAAGCTGATCCTTCCCCCCGAAAAAAAATAAAAAATAAAAAATAAAAAAAAATAATGTGTGCTTAACGAGTTAGTCATTGGTCAAGTATTGGGGAACACAATCTTAAAAGTAGAGTGCTGATTATCGAGATTGGATGTTAACCTAGCAGTTAAGAGCGTTGAACCAGTAATTGAAAGGTTGCTGGTTAGAACCCCAGAGCTGACTAGGTGAAAAATATGTTGATGTGCCCTTGAGCAAGGCACTAAACCCTAATTGCTCATGTAAATCTCTCTGGATAAGAGCATCTGCTAATTGACATAAATGTAAAAAAAAATTAAAAAAATAAAAAAAACCGGTAGGCCAGAGGGAGAGAGAGTATCACAGGAATGTGGACACTTCTTACTGTAAAGAACTGAAGTGACACTTCTCAGCATATGATGAGGTGCTATAAATGTAGCCTAATGTTACAGCAGACGATCAACGTCAACAATGTATTTTATTGGTACATTTACCCTTCTTGAGTGTGAGTAATTATACATGGGGGGACTGAGGACTAGAACATGTTGTCTGTTAGGTCATTAGTATGAACTTGAACACAACAACAACTTTAAATTCTTGATTTGAACCCAATACCCTGTTATCAGTGTCTCCATCACCATCACTCACTTACCCTACCTACTGCCTCCAGGTTTACCCTGAGAGAAGCCACCTGTTTGGCCTAATCCTGGGTAGATTAGCTCTCCTTCCCCACTGCATCTCCCAGCTACCTGGTCCGCTACCCCATAATCCACGACTACATCCACGACTAAAGCCTCTCCTTTTCCTGTTTTCTTATAGGATGGTCAATGGTCTTGTGACGGAAGGGGACAACCAATCAGATCCAAGTGCTGTTGATACTGATTTGGATCCTGAGCAGTAGTGCATGGCAGTCTGCCAGGGCAGAATCTACCGAGCGAATTAGAGGGTGAGGACTGAGCATAGAAAGGGATTATGGATTAGGAGGACTCTTAAGACTAAGACTTCCCTTCTAATGAGAAGAGAAGGGGTTTATTCTAAGAAAGTGTGTTAGGTAATTGACAATGCATCTCCCTCAGATTGCTTGACTGCAGTGGAGAAAAGGTTGAAATACAGTGCACATGTTTTGGTCTATCTATTGCGTCCTCTGATATCGGATGTTTTGTAATACAGTAATTACTGAAAACATTATTCCAACAACCATAAAATGTACTACATAAAATAAAATAAATATATTTTGGGATTTGTTGATTTATTGAAGATTAATAATGAGTGTACGTTGCAATCTTTCAGTACATTTGTGGAAATTAAAATGAATGTAATTTACTGTATTGACTATGACTAATTATATATTGGTGAATTGGTAAAATTATTTGTTTCTTGTCCATGTCATACTGTTTTAGAATTAGCATTTTGTATTTGAACTGTTGGTATTTTTGTTTTACAGTAACTACAGTGTTTGTTTACAAATGTTGTTTTATTATTATTCATAGTTTCACCTTTGTATTTTGTTTATTTCAGTTTTTTCTACCTCTGTTCCCAATAAAAAATAAAAAATAAAAAATACTGCTTCATGAGAAGAGTGGTGTGACTTGAACACATTACATCACCCAGCCATAAATAGCTCCCAGATTCTGCTCACAATACAGTTCTCTGTGAGCATTAAAATAATGACAGGTTATATTCTGTGTTATTATGTTAGGCCTATACCGGTTTTTTTGGGACCTGACAAACAAGCATGTATTCCAAGGGAAATAGTCAACTGCTCATTTGCAAAAAAAAAACATTTGTATAGTTACTGATTCCCACACCATCGCTTTGCATAGAGGATCATCTCGTCATTTTGATTCAGTTATTAGATAATAAACCTGTGGCCCATAAATCCCACTGGCCCATTTTTCATAGAACTGCACCCACAGACAACATGAAATACTATAGCAAATTTCAGATTATAGCTAAATGTATTCTCATAGAAAGTCAAGCTAGTCTGCACCAGAACGTATTATTTGTCTGACTGTCTACAGTAATGATTTACAGAGAGAATACGAGAGAGAGAGAGTGTGAGAGAGAGAGAGAGAGAGAGAGAGAGAGAGAGAGAGAGAGAGAGTGTGAGAGAGAGAGAGAGAGAGAGAGAGAGAGAGAGAGACAGAGAGAGACAGAGAGAGACAGAGAGAGAGAGAGAGAGGGAGGTTTCTTATTCTAAGAAAGTGTGTTAGGTGCTTCTACATCTGCATTGCTTGCTGTTTGGGGTTTTAGGCTGGGTTTCTGTGACATCACTGTGACATCTGCTGATGTAAAAAGGGCTTTATAAATACAATTTGATTGATTGAGGTTACAGTCACAATTCATAGCGCTATGCTATTCTAGCGATAAAGGAAGGTGTTTATTTTTATTATTATCAAAATACAAAAGAAAGTAGGATGCAGGCCTATTACCCCTATTATTATATAGCATGTTACATCATGCCTACCTAATCATTCATTCCATTCTATTCAGCCTTCCATACAGTGTAAGCACTATATTTTATTTCTATGTGTAGCCCACCACATTATTTACACTTTTAACAGTGGGGATTGTAGGGGGCTGCTTTTTCACACGATTATAGTTCCAACATCATTATTTACAAATGGTCATAGGTCCTTCTACTCTACTCTCTTCACTGTGAGGAATTATGTGTCACATAAAACCATAGATTATATATATACACAACATAAAACCGAGTACGCTGCCAGTTGTAGCCTCCATTGCAATACTTGACACACATTAGTTTTACACAACTCCAGTGTTTTCGTTTCAACATTTTTGTGAACCCCTCCTACCTGCCAACTTTAGGGAGTGTCATGCTGTGAACTGCCTCGACTTGCCACAGTCGGCTTTAGGAGCGCCTTTCCCAAGCTACTCAAACGGCCTGTGAATTCGCCTACTGTCAGTTGGGTCTTTCAACGCAAAATGACAGACAACGGACTCACAGATGAGGCTGTGTCCGCAGCGTGCAAAGAAGGGGACCCTATCACCCAGGTGAGTGTCACGCGGATGGAGCGCAAAATAGAATATGTAGGCTAGCATTAATGTATCACTTATTCACAGTACGCCTATTTTATGTGATTGACAGTCTGTCTCAGCAAACCTGTTGTTGAGCAAGAGTCCCCCTCAGCGATGTTAGTTGTAGGCTATATAGCCAAGCCCTATGCTCCTTTAGCAAATGCCATAGTAGTTCTGTAATGTGTTGCCTCTAGTTTGAGTTCTAACTTATCTTCTAGAGTTGTAAACTGAGAACATAGCTGAGAGGACAGGGGTCTCCCGAGTGGCGCAGTGGTCTAAGGCTCTGTCGTAGCCGGCCGCGACCGGGAGACCCATGGGGCGGCGCACAATTGGCCCAGGGTAGGGGAGGGAATGGCCGGCAGGGATGTAGCTCAGTTGGTAGGGCATAATGTATGCACTAACTGTAAGTCGCTCTGGATAAGAGCGTCTGCTAAATGACAAAATTCTAAATGTAAAATGGGTCAAGACATATTTCGCAATTGACAACTCGCCCGATACTCCCCCTTACACACTCTCTCTGTCTCCACCTGTCTTTCTATCACTCTCCGTCGCCCTCTCTCTCTCCCCATGTCTCTCTTTCGCCCGTCTCTCTGTCTCCCCCTGTCTCTCTCTCTCCCCCCTGTCCCTCTCTCTGTCTCTCTTTCGCCCGTCTCCCTTTCTCTGTCTCCCCCTGTCTCTCTCTCTCCCCATGTCTCTCCTCAGGACTACATGATGCAGCAGACCATGCTGAGGGTAAAAGACCCTCTCAAGTCTTTAGACTTCTACACCCGCATCATGGGCATGACGTGAGTCCCACACTGCTCTCTCACACACACAAAGGGGCTTCAGGCCTAGTACCCTACCCCTCTAGAAGATGTCTCACTCTGTTTAACAAAAAATAGTTATTCATAAATGTTTATGACTATTACTGCTGACCCCTTTAAAAAGACACTCTTGATTCCTGCATGTGCTTCTCCCTGTGTGGTTATTGGGGCCCCTATATATTTTAGCTCCGGGCTTTATATGTAGAGTGATTGGCTTAATCTCCTGGGTGCTTCAGAGTTTGGATAAATTAACCTCTGATTTTGTGTGTGATGTAGTGACTGTTTCATCGATCTTTCGGGGGATTTATTCTCTATCTTCACCTCCAGTTGTCCCACCAGTTGAACCAGGGGTGTATTCATTACGTCTTGCATCGGAAACCATTTACCGTTTTTGCAAATGGAACGATACGAGGAAGGACCTACCTGAATTTGTCGAATAGAAAGTTAAATTTTCGTTGCAAAACGTTTTCCGTTTGGAGTAAATGGTTTCTGTTGCTAAACGTTTTGCAACAGAATCGGCATAATGAATACACCCCAATTGTGATTCCTATTTGCCTCAGGTTGCTGCAGAAGATAGACTTCCCATCAATGCTCTTCACACTCTACTTCCTGGGTTATGAGGAAAAGAAGGAGATCCCTGCAGATGTAAAGGAGAGGACAGCATGGACTTTCTCTCGACGAGCCACCATCGAACTCACACAGTAGGCAACCCACTTAAAACCTCAGCCAGGGGTCTCCAACAGGTTGATGAAAGGATCCTGTAACATCTAATCCAGGGGTCTCCAACAGGTTGATGAGATGATCATGTAACAACTAATCCAGGGGTCTCCAACAGGTTGATGAGATGATCATGTAACAACTAATCCAGGGGTCTCCAACAGGTCGATGAGATGATCCGGTAACATCTAACCAGGGGTCTCTAACAGGTCGATGGCAAGCTATAAGTAGTTTGTGTGCTGTCAATGAGTAGCTCGCAAGTTGATACTGAGAAATAATCAGTAGCCTAATAGTACATGATTAAATCTAATAAATAATTGTTCTAATCAAACCACAGGTTCTATGCCCATTTATAGGGAACAGTCGAAGGCAGATATAACAAATAAAAAAGTATAGATGATTCAAGTTCACGTTTGCTTGTTTGAAACAGGATTACTGTCAAATACATGACTTCTACTGGATAGATAGCCCTAACACTTGTTGAAGTTGGCCTACAACTGTGCTTTCAGAGACTTGACCGAGTTCACATAAACGGACCAAAACACACGGAATACTGAAAACAACTGAAAACAAAATACATTACTGCGTTGGCAAAACTTATATAAATAAAATTATCAAACGTACTGTATATAAATAAAAACTGATATAGGGAAATAAACAAACCTTCTCATTACACCATACCCCAAACATTTCTCAAGGCTGCATGTTCCTTAAGATGGTTGCACTTACAAAGACTTGCACAGCAACAACACAGCAGAGTCTACACTGGACCTTCAGGACAAAGCCAGAGAGGAAGAGGCGAAGCGAGAGGGTTTACTCCGCCCAAAGTTTGACAATGAAAATAAAAGACCACGAAGTGAGGAATTTTTGTATGGTGACCAATGAGAGAGTGTCGAATTTGGTCAACAAAACATTTAATTGCTAATTTGCTACCTGAGGCTTATTTGATCTAATAAAAGTTTCGTAATTGTTAGGTTGTTATGAATGTACTGATATAAGTGGAGGCACGTGGCATCTCGGCAACTTTGAAAAAGAAAAGTACTTTATATCGGAGTTGTACCTGTTGTTTACACGAATATCTGCCCTCTCATTGGCTAGAATCAGAGGTGTTATGCCCATAGAGGGCACAGGGTCACGTGTCCCCTCAGATTTGTCCTGTTTAAATATTATATAAAAATAAATGTTTGTTTTTTCTCTGTAATACTACTAGCCACTTAGCAATTGTATGAAGTTGGTTTTAGCCCAGATAGGTTCCCAACCTCCCAACTTCATAACAAGCTACCAAGAAGCCATTTCAGGCTATCAGTCAAGTTAGAGTAGCTAGCTGACATGCCTGCTGGCAAGGTTGGTTGACTTTAGAAAAGCAAGCAATAACTAAATGTACTAAATAAGACTCACATTCCTTTCAATATTTTACCCAGACTTTAGCAGAGAGTCAGGAGGATACAGGTCCATTGTTTAACCACCAGTCAGGAGGATACAGGCAGCTTAAGAGGTATGCTTAGATATGCAGAAAAAATACATATTTTTTACATAGATTTAAGCATAATGATTATGGCTCGACATTGCAGGAAAAAGCTGTTTAAGGTGTTTGGAAAATGCAAAATTCTCCAACTTAATGGCCGAGGGCCTAGCCCCTCTCCAGACCACCCCCAGCAATCCTCACATACTTTGTCCCCACTCAGATTTTGGGGGTGAATGACGGCCCTGGCTAGAATGGTCCCACCCTATCTAGCCTCCTCCAGCCTGCCGTCCATCTTTGAGGACATGTATTGTTAGAGCGGTCACTCGACTATCTAGTCAGTATAATAGAACATCTTGACAAAGCTCTCATCTGAGCAGGTTTAAGAAGGGGTGTTTTTATAGAGTTTGCCAGCTTGTAGTCCTAAAACCCAGAAATAAGTTACCTCTGGTTCGTTCAGCCATCCCTATGGGAAAAATGAATGGGGATAGAATAAGCTTTTGGAATAAATGCAAAAAATGAGGTCTGAGGTTAACACAGGCTTAGGAGATCTTATACGTTTTCTTCCATGAGATAATGAGATAATGAACATGAATCCCATAAGTTAACATTACCTTTATGAATTATGATGCCTTTATGGGATTCATGTGTTTTTTATTATTACATAAATTCTTCAAAATTTACAAAAAATGACATTAGTTGATGAAGATTATCTCATAGAACAAAACGTATAACATCTCCACAGACCTTATTTTCTGCATTTATCCAAAAACCCTCCAAAAACTCCATTCATTTTACTCATAGGCTTTGTCCAACGAACCATGGCGGAGTTGGTGCCTACAAAAAGACGCCATTACTATTTCTCTCTATACCTGTTTGATGTTCTTCACTAATTACTTTCTCTTCGGAAACATGGACCGAAACTATGGTTCCTACCCTGTCACAATACCATGATGGTGAAGATGATATACTGTATTTCTCACCTGACCTTTCTCTCTTCTCTGTTCTATTTAAGCAACTGGGGCTCTGAGTCAGATGAAAAATTGTCTCTTCACAACGGAAACTCTGAACCAAGGGGTTTTGGTGAGAAAATGATATTATCTTTTTAATTCAAAATTTGAAAGTAGTACAGCCATTGTGTTGTTCAACCATGAGGCAATTCCACGTATTTAAATTGCCCCACTCCACTTTCTCTATCATACAGGGCACATTGGCATTGCTGTACCTGATGTTTATGCAGCCTGCAAAGTATTTGAAGAACAAGGAGTAACATTTGTTAAGAAACCAGATGATGGTATATTTTTTACTCTTCTTTTCCCTCTCACACAATTATTTTGTGTTTATGTTTAGGGTCTCTGTGAAAAACACATTTGTGTATAGAGTATATTACAGTTGACTATTAATTTGTATTTTCTCAATTTGTAAATGCAACATTCTATTTTATTTTTCCACACAGGTAAAATGAAGGGATTGGCCTTCATACAGGATCCTGATGGATACTGGATTGAGATTTTGAGCCCAAACAACATGTTCTCCTTAACATCATAGGGAGGCAAACTGAGCCAGCACAAACTGACTGGGTTTGGGAAAAGGATGTAATTAAAAAATAAGAGCGAAATTGAATGAGGTAACAAAGGGGGTTACGTGAGGAAATTAAGAAGTGAAGATGAAGTGTTTGCTTACGATTGGAATCACATACAGGTTCCCGCTGTACTGTGGACACCCAAGACAAAGGATGGAATAGCCGTAATATACAGAGACAACACTGTTGGAGCTAGGAACACAAGCATTTCGCTACACCCGCAATAACATCTGGTAAAAATGTGTATGTGACCAATAACATTTGATTTGATTTGATATGTTTGAATGTGTGGGAAATTATTCTCTTATATTTTAGATGTGCTGTTAGCTTAATAAGAAAGCATTAATGATTAAACATAAAAGGTTTGTACTGTACTGATATAAATTGGCCAACATAACAAGCTGTGATTAATGTGAGGAGCTGTTAGGGAGTAGGGTGAGATAAGGCTTGTGACTCACACTGCCTCTTTGTTGAACTGTCCAAGGACATAGGTACAAAGAGTATAGTTAGGGTGGGAAAGTACAGGAAAACTGTGTCTATGAGTGCTGACTCTCTGGACAAGTTGCAAAACAACTGATGCCTGGCAACAGTGAAGCGCCAAGGGACTGGGACCAGCCTGTGCGCCAACGATAGGCTGAGTAAGTCTAAACCACGCTCAGTCTCTACTCTGATAGGCCAGCAGGGAGCAGGAACTATCTCTGTCAGAGTATTTAAAGAAGAACATATAACAATGGACCAGTTCTCTGTCTGCCCTGTGTGGTATTTCAGTGAACCCGTATATACGAACATCATATTTACCATTGAAGTGTTTTGCATTAATTAAAATACTAGTCTATTTTAGAAGACGTGTATTGACCTCTTTTTGTTCCAATACCAGATTTGAATTGACGCAACTTATCAGATGGGATAAACTGACAATGAAGATGACTAACTAACGCCAGGGTAAATAACTGCTCCTAATGTGGTCCGACTGAGATTGATATGATCCCAGCCTGGTAAACATATTTGCAATAAATAGAGATGTGGATCATCCTCTCATATTTTTGACTCCTCTGTCTTTCTATTCAATTTGTAGTGATCCCCTTGGATTTACACCACAAACGGCTCACCAAGGTTTATGTTTTGTCTCATCAGCACAATTTCCACAGTAAAATATGAGGGACACTGGAAAATAAGGCTTGCAGAAAACCATAGCTGCTGAAAGAAGTAACCATAGCATCAGTAGTTCTTGTATAGATTTACATGGCATGTGTAACATTTTCTATTCTATTGTATTATAATACATATGAATATTGTTGATCATTTTTGCAAGTGTCAGATCAGTGTCAGATCCACCACCTCCATATACACGGCTTGTCCTCCTCCTATACACAAGGGGCGCTGTTTCTTCTTTGAACAGTACCGTTCTTCCCACCCAAAAAACATCCGGGTTGTGACCCAATCGAATTGTGTTTGTGATGGTGGAATATTTGCGGTCCGTTTGCAAATTATTTAATTTTTCACGCAAACTTGCCAATAAGGTCATTTTATTCCAACGATTTTGATTGAATAAAGGGGAAAATAACGTCAAGGAATAGTTCTCGTGGAAGGGAGAACGAAAGGGGATAGCTAGATACGCTTATTGTGCTGGTATGTCACACGCGTGAAAGTGAAACCCAAGCGGTTGTGTCTTTGACAGCATCATATAGCTAGCTGACATAAGCTGGATAGTCTCACATTCTTGATTGATTAGCTAGCTAGATGATTGGTGTATTGCTGGTTATAAACCGGGTGGTTCGAGCCCTGAATGCTTATTGGCTGAAAACCGTGGCATATCAGACCGTATACCATAGGTATGAACAAAAAAAAGGTTTACTGGTCTAATTACGTTGGTAGCCAGTTTATAATAGCAATAAGGCACCTCGGGGGGTTGTGGTAGCTAAATGGCCAATATACCACAGTAAGGGCTGTATCCAGGCACTCCGAGGTGCGTCGTGGTAAGAACAGCCCTAGCCGTGGTATATAGGCCATATACCGTATTGCTTAATTATCTAGATACCTATTAAATGGACAATGTCATTGTTGCATTACACAGTAGATAACGTTACCCAGCTAGTTATGTCTACAGATAGCTAAACGCTGTCTATGTACTTGAGATTGTGTGCACTGACAGTTTTCAATGGCATCCATTAACCAGGGGTGTATCCATTACGGAAACCGTTTGATAACCAAACGGAAGGAAATAGGGAGGGACCAAAGAAAATGATAGAGAAAGCATCCCATCATTTCCATTATGACGTCTATGAGAGCACGGGCAGCGACATTGAGGCCATCTCCATTTTGAAGTAGTCAATTTTCTTCTTCTACTACTTCTATGAGTTGGCAAACAAACTGAAAGGGTGCATTCTACCACATGTAGTGTGCTGTTTGAACAGGTATAAAGCCAAGGTTGGCCACCTGCAGTTATGGAATGTTTGCTCACAAGTATAATTCATTGGCTGATCCCTCCTGATGACCTGGATGGAATCATGTGATCCTTCCTTAACCCATAGAAAATCCCAGGCCACCAGTTGACTACTTAAAAATGGTGGAAGTCCTCAATGGTGCGGCCCATGCTAAAACAGGCTTTTTGCCACTAGAGGCCCATTCTCTATGGGAGGAATTTAATTTGTCCAATATAAACTCTTGTTTGCGTTTTCCAAATTTTGGAGTAAACAGTTTCTGTTGCAAAACGTTTTGCAACAGACAAAATGTTTTGCAACAGAAGTATAATGATTACACCCCAGGCTGTCAAACTATGTTTTCCTTTCTTGTGTCAGATGTTAGTGAAACGCCCCCAGTCAAATCACAATGAGTAGCAACAGCCATCCTTTGCGTCCTCTGGCCTCTGTGTCAGAGATTGACCACATCCACCTGCTGTCAGAGCAGCTGGGCGCCTTGGTTCCAGGTGAAGAGTACAGTGATGTCACCTTCATTGTGGAGGAGAAACGCTTCCCGGCCCATAGGGTCATTTTGGCAGCACGCGGTCACTACTTCAGGTACACCTGTTTGAATGGTTTTTGTCTTGTTCTTCTTTGCAGTGCATGAGGTCTTTGGCTTCCCATGAAATGTCCGATGACTGGCACTGTCGGGCAGTTGGCAATTCAATTTGAAGTATTCCCTGTTTTTAGGTGATAGTGTTCAATGAGGACTAGGTAACAGTCTATGAGATGTCTGACATCCTTTTCCCCAGAGCTCTGCTCTATGGGGGGATGAAGGAGTCCCAGCCGCAGGCGGAGGTGACCCTGGAGGAGACCCGAGCCGAGGCCTTCTCCATGCTCCTCCACTACCTCTACACGGGCCGGGCTAGCCTCAGCTCAGCCCGCGAGGAGGTGCTGCTGGACTTCCTGGGTCTGGCCCACCGCTACGGCCTCCAGCCACTAGAGGACTCCACCTCAGACTTCCTGCGCACCATCCTGCACACACACAACGTGTGTTTGGTGTTTGACGTGGCCAGCCTGTACTCTCTGAGTGCGCTCAGTGAAGCATGCTGCACCTACATGGACCGGCACGCCCCGGAGGTCCTGGCCTCGGACGGCTTCCTCACACTGTCCAAGGTGAGTGGGAGTAGGCAGGTTCACGTTCATTAGTAACTAACGGAAGAACATGGACTGAAACAGGAAGGGGACTGCCTGGACTTGTCCAATAAGTAATGCTAAATTTTGTTTTCCGTTACAAAATGTTTTCAAACGATTTTCATTGTGTGTCCTAATGAACAAGACCCAGATGACAATCAAAAGAAGTAGTCTTAAATGAATCTGCTTCTATCCTCTCCCCTCTCTGTGCAGACTGCTCTGCTGACTGTGGTACAGAGGGACTCGTTTGCGGCGAGCGAGAAGGAGATCTTCCAGGCGCTGTGTTGCTGGTGCCGGCAGAACGGCGAGGGTGGCGCCACGCAGGACGTGATGTCGGCCGTGCGGCTGCCGCTCATGAGTCTGACGGAGATGCTAAACGTGGTGCGTCCCTCGGGACTACTCAGCCCAGACGACCTGCTGGACGCCATCAAGACGCGCTCAGAGAGCCGCGACATGGACCTAAACTACCGCGGCATCCTCAGTGGGTCTCAGTCTCTGCTGGTCCTGTTCTAGTAGTCAGCAACTAATAGCTTTATGTCAGTGGTAGTGTGTGTACTCTGTTTGCGTCTGAATTCCATGTGTGTGTCTCTCTTTGTATTGTGTGTGTGTGTGTGTGTGTGTGTGTGTGTGTGTGTGTGTGTGAGAGATATGTATTCAATGTGATGCCTTTGTGTGTTAAAGTCCCAGAGGAGAATATTGCCACTATGAAATACGGGGCCCAGGTGGTGAAGGGAGAGCTGAAGTCAGCGCTGCTGGACGGAGACACCCAGAACTACGACCTGGACCACGGCTTCTCCAGACACCCCATAGAGGAGGACGGCTGCGCTGGCCTCCAGATTAAGCTGGGCCAGGCCTACATCCTCAACCATATCCGCATCCTGCTCTGGGACAGAGACAGCCGGTGAGAGAGACATCCACTGTGTTTTAGGGGATCAGTTTGAGCAAGGCACAATCGCTTATCTTCATCACATACAGTAGTTATTTGGGATTCAAGGTGATTTGCAGATCAGTGATTTTGATCAGTCTTACTGCCTTGTAGTCAATCAAACACGCACAGTCCTTTCTCTCTGAAGGTTTCGCTCAACTGATGAGCAATGTTTTCATAGTGTTTTGTATATTGCAGTAATGTTGATATCACATTACAATCATAATGATAGAGATACTCTTCAACATTGCTTTGGGGCAATTTCACGGTAACAGAGGGATGCTATATGTCAAACAGAAAAAGTATGAAAATGTATGCACTCACTACTGTAAGTCGCTTTGGATAAGAGCGTCTGCTAAATGACAAATGTCAAACGTAAACAAAAACCAATGATTGCAAAATTAAAGAAGTCATACAACTCTATGCGCAATGACTGCTTTTAACAATTTCCACAGAAAATTTTACAAAAACACATTTACTTGAAGAACAGTGCAGATGCAAATGACGGTTTGTGCTGCTTGTGCTGTCATTCTGTTACCAAACTTTGCATCTGCACTGTTTGGTGAAAAATCGGAGTCGCAGTATCACTCTGTTACTGTGGAATTGCCCTTTGGTAACTGGGATATGTATGGTCCATCACCCTCTCTCTGTATTTGAGCAGGTCTTACTCCTACTATATTGAAGTGTCCATGGATGAGCTGGATTGGGTGCGTGTTGTGGACCATTCCAAGTATCTGTGTCGCTCTTGGCAGAACCTCTTCTTTACACCACGTGTGGCCAGGTAAATCTTTACCTATGGTTTTCTCATGGTTGGCACCAATTTTGACTTCTGGTTCCACAACATAGACTTGATTGTGTCCTTGTGTCCCAGGTACGTGCGCATTGTAGGGACGCACAACACTGTCAACAAGGTCTTCCATCTAGTTAGTTTGGAGTGTATGTTCACACACCACTCCTTCACTCTGGAAAAAGGTATTCTCGGTAAGGCAAGAATATCAACCATTATACCAGTGTTATATATGATTCATAAAATACATTGATCAACATTTTAGACTACATTTATACATATTTACATTGCTCTGATTAACATAAATAAATATCTCAACTCCTCTCACCCAATCCTCTCCCATCACTTTAATGTCTGCAGTCCCCAATGAGAACGTGGCTACCATCGCGGCCTGTTCCAGTGTCATCGAGGGGGTGAGTCGGAGCAGAAACGCCCTGCTCAACGGGGACACGCGCAACTACGACTGGGACTCTGGCTACACCTGTCACCAGCTGGGCTCTGGGGCCATCGTCATTCAACTGGCTCAGCCTTACTCTATAGGCTCCTTAAGGTGTTTACGTGTTTGTTTGTGTGTGTGGGCATGCGTTTTCACTCTTGCTTTGTGTCTGTCTGCACAGTTGATACATTTTTTCATGTTAATAATTGTATTATTTTCTTCTATCTGGACAGACTGCTGCTGTGGGACTGTGATGAGCGATCCTACAGTTACTACATTGAGGTCTCCACCAATCAGCAGGAGTGGACAAAGGTGGTGGACCGCACCAAGGTGCCATGTCGGTAAGAACTCCCAGTCTGTCTCCAAGTCTCTCCCTTTCCCATACTCTTTTCAGATTATCTTTGTACAAATCTGGCCATTTGAGATCTTTTAACAGTCTTGTTTTTCTTCAACAGGTCGTGGCAGACGCTCAAATTCGACAAGCAGCCTGCCTCTTTTATCCGCATCGTGGGAACTCACAACTCCGCGAACGAGGTGAGAGGATTGCGCATACGCCGTCATTTTTTTATCTGCTGTCATTTTTGTATTTATATCCTTTCCTCATTCCCCGTTTCTCTTTGTTTTTCAGGTGTTCCATTGTGTCCACTTTGAGTGTCCGGCCCAATCTGACATGGAGCTGAAAGAGGGCAATCCTGGGCAGCATTCCAGTTCCACGTCCCAGAACCCCAGACGTGTTCGGCCCTCCCGTACCCACAGCCTGCTCCCCTCCTCATCCTCATCCTCCACCTCCTCACAACCCCACCTCTGAGAGAGAGAGAGAGAGAGAGAGAGAGACAGAGAGAGAGAGAGAGGGAGTGAGAGAGAGAGAGAGAGAGAGGGGGAGAGAAGAGAGAGGGGGGGGAGAGGAGAGACGAGAGAGAGAAGGTGGGGGGGGGGGGGGGGGGGGGGTTTTTGTTTTTTTTTTGTTTGTTTTGAGAGTCTCTGCTATCTAATCTCTCTATTTTCGTCATATATTTTTTCGTCTGAAGCTCTCGCTCTCTCGCTGTTTTCTCTACCTCTCGCTCTCTCTCTCTCGCTTATCTCTTATTTTTTTTTTTTTCTCGCTGCTCTTCTTCTTTTTTCTCTCTCTCTCTCTCTCTCTCTCTCTCGCTCTCTCTCTCTCTCTCCTCCCTCTCTAGAGAAACAGAGAAACCCTCAAGGCCACCATTTTGCACAGTCTTTATCTATCACACAGGATGCACTGCTAAAATGCTGCTAAGCATACAATCCATTTTGATAACAAAGATTGGCTTCTATTGCAATGATGAACAGCTTTTTAGGGCGCTCATACGGTCCTCCCTGTCTGAAATGATAGGCAATGATGGAAAAAAAAGCTATGGAGTAAATTTGTCCATGCATTTTCTGTGAAGATATTGGCTCACATTTGCTGCCGGTTTAAGGGTACTCAATTGGCACTTTTCAAAGCCTATGGGCCAGGTGCTATCCAGACAGTGGAGGTGCAAGCAGTACTGCTCGTCCAAAGATTAACCAATGGAATACAGCAGTGATGTTCGCAATAATATCATCTAATCAATTATTTTCTTCTCATTATGAAAAATGAACAATCACAATTGGAACAAGTTTTTACTTGAATATATTTTTGACATTTTCATTCATTATAATTTCTATGCTATTTAAGTAGTTTATTTGCACTTGTTGGTTAACTAGAATTATCATGTTCACCTATGGTTTTTATTTGCTAAATTCATTCACTTCACCCCCCCTTGGGCTAAAATACTAATATTACTGTCTTGACTTAGTATGGCTGAGCAGCACTTCAATGTCTCGGTTCAAATTGTTTGGTAAATTCGGAGGCAGGGAGAGTGGACCAAATGATCTAATGGAGCTTAGAAAATTGGATATTTATGGTTTATTTGCAGTGTCTTAACTATTTTTGGCACTTTATTGTTCCCCTTATTTACTGTAAGAAAGATGTTGTCTAGGTCTACTAACACAGGAAAACTGCAGTGCTGGTAATGGCTGGATGTATGGATTTGTTTTTGTCATTTTATTGTAATCCTCACCTTTTGAGTAACATTTTAATTGCTGCTTGTGTTTACCGCTCAGTTGTCAATGATTGTGTTTGTGTGGTTTGATTTGTTGAAGTTGTATTTTGGCTCAACGATTTATCAATGCTGTGCTTGCTATCCTCCCTCACCTTTTCCCTCTTTCTTAGTTTCCTGGCTCTTAATATTGCTCTCTCATTCTTTTTCCTTGTATCTTCTTTGCTATTTTGGTAGCTTTTGTGTAGATTTGAGCAATCCTTTTGATATTTTCACATTGCTGCTATTGCATGAGGGATGAACATTGACTTAAAGTAAATTACTGTAAGTAGAAAGCAGATTATCTTTCTCATATCTACACTGCTCAAAAAAATAAAGGGAACACTTAAACAACACAATGTAACTCCAAGTCAATCACACTTCTGTGAAATCAAACTGTCCACTTAGGAAGCAACACTGATTGACAATAAATGTCACATGCTGTTGTGCAAATGGAATAGACAACAGGTGGAAATTATAGGCAATTAGCAAGACCTCCCCAATAAAGGACTGGTTTTGCAGGTGGTGACCACAGACCACTTCTCAGTTCCTATGCTTCCTGGCTGATGTTTTGGTCACTTTTGAATGCTGGCGGTGCTTTCACTCTAGTGGTAGCATGAGACGGAGTCTACAACCCACACAAGTGGCTCAGGTAGTGCAGCTCATCCAGGAAGGCACATCAATGTGAGCTGTGGCAAGAAGGTTTGCTGTGTCTGTCAGCGTAGTGTCCAGAGCATGGAGGCGCTACCAGGAGACAGGCCAGTACATCAGGAGACGTGGAGGAGGCCGTAGGAGGGCAACAACCCAGCAGCAGGACTGCTACCTCCGCCAGAGCCCTGCAAAATGACCTCCAGCAGGCCACAAATGTGCATGTGTCTGCTCAAACGGTCAGAAACAGACTCCATGAGGGTGGTATGAGGGCCCGACGTCCACAGGTGGGGGTTGTGCTTACAGCCCAACACCGTGCAGGACGTTTGGCATTTGCCAGAGAACACCAAGATTGGCAAATTCGCCACTGGCGCCCTGTGCTCTTCACAGATGAAAGCAGGTTCACACTGAGCACGAGACAGACGTGACAGAGTCTGGAGACGCCGTGGAGAACGTTCTGCTGCCTGCAACATCCTCCAGCATGACCGGTTTGGCGGTGGGTCAGTCATGGTGTGGGGTGGCATTTCTTTGGGGGGCCGCACAGCTCTCCATGTGCTCGCCAGAGGTAGCCTGACTGCCATTAGGTACCGAGAAGAGATCCTCAGACCCCTTGTGAGACCATATGCTGGTGCGGTTGGCCCTGGGTTCCTCCTAATGCAAGACAATGCTAGACCTCATGTGGCTGGAGTGTGTCAGCAGTTCCTGCAAGAGGAAGGCATTGATGCTATGGACTGCCCATTCCCCAGACCTGAATCCAATTGAGCACATCTGGGACATCATGTCTCACTCCATCCACCAACGCCACGTTGCACCACAGACTGTCCAGGAGTTGTCGGATGCTTTAGTCCAGGTCTGGGAGGAGATCCCTCAGGAGACCATCCGCCACCTCATCAGGAGCATGCCCAGGCGTTGTAGGGAGGTCATACAGGCACGTGGAGGCCACACACACTACTGAGCCTTATTTTGACTTGTTTTAAGGACATTACATCAAAGTTGGATCAGCCTGTAGTTTGGTTTTCCACTTTAATTTTGAGGGTGACTCCAAATCCAGACCTCCATGGGTTGATAAATTTGATTTCCATTGATAATTTTTGTGTGATTGTGTTGTCAGCACATTCAACTATGTAAAGAAATAAGTATTTAATAAGATTATTTCATTCATTCAGATCTAGGGTGTGTTATTTTAGTGTTCCCTTTATTTTTTTAAGCAGTGTATATTTTCCATTCTCTTTCCTGAATAGTTTTGATTGCATTTTGTTTATTGTATTTGCCATTACTGTCTGTACTATATCATCATTGCTGGCGGTTGCTTTTGTGTTATTCTATATCACTGCCATTACCATACAGTGGTATTTCTTTTCAGAAGATGTCTCTTTTGTAGATGTTGGTAGAGATTCAACAGAAAGGTCTCAATGTTTCACTGTTCAAATAATGGTGATTGATTTGTAAAGTCAAGCAAGTTTGCACTAGTCTAGTGAGCACCAAGAAAGGCTTTTTTCTAATGCTGCTTATGGCAAATGTTAGTGGCTCAATAAATGTATGGAAACGACATTATATGTCCTACAACTTATTTTGCAGTACTTAGCATCAGCAACCCTCAAACTTGAAAGACCAAACATTTTTAACATTGCTGATTAATACAGGTGTTGAATGCAGCCTTGTCCATCCATCCTCATGATACCCTACCAGCTGGCAATCAAGCTTTTAAACAATGCTGTATTAAACTCGTGTCATCATGACTCATGTATGTCTTTGTATTTTGACATATATGTTTTATACGACACTGTAACTTCATCCGAAAGATGTCCACCTCTCTCGAGGGAGGAGTTAGACCATTGTTTCTCAAACCTCTCCTCGGGGACCCCCAGAGGTTTCACAATTTAATTGTAGACCTGAACTAGCTCACCTGATTGACCTAGTCAAGGGATTGATGATTAGTTGGCAAGTTGAATCAGGTGTGCTAACTGTGGAATAGATCAAATACATGGAACAGCTGGGGGTCCCCGAGGAGAGGTTTGGAACAGCTGGGGGTCCCCGAGGAGAGGTTTGGAACAGCTGGGGGTCCCCGAGGAGAGGTTTAACAGCTGGGGGTCCCCGAGGAGAGGTTTGGAACAGCTGGGGGTCCCCGAGGAGAGGTTTGGAACAGCTGGGGGTCCCCGAGGAGAGGTTTGGAACAGCTGGGGGTCCCCGAGGAGAGGTTTGGAACAGCTGGGGGTCCCCGAGGAGAGGTTTGAGAACCACTGGGTTAGACTACAACTGGGAGGGAATCAATGATTTATATCAGAGATGGGCAACTCAAATTCTCTGGGGCTTGATTGGTGTCACACATTTTCTCCAGCCTTATAGCTAACACGCCTGATTAAACTTAGTAAGTTCTAAACTGAAGACCATGATTAGTTGATTATTGGAGTCCAGTGTGTTACTGGGGTAAAAGTGTGTCACCAATCAGGCCCAGAGGACTAGTTTCCCATCACTGATTTATATATACACATCATTGAAGGGAATAGATTCCAAACACATTTTCTCTCAAGAATGCTTTTCATGAATTTCAAGCACTGCAATTACAACATTTACAATATTTTTTATATACTTCCAATAATACGTGTTGTGTAGATACTACTCTGACGTGGAATGGATTTTGTGATCCTCCTGCTTCACAGCTGATCCATGTTTTGGTTTGTCCCAAACAGACCAATGGGGTTGGGACATATTCAATATCGCACTTTGTAATACTTATTGTTCAACAATTTAAACCGTGAAAGAAGTAAATATTTTTTTTATATATTACTTGTGTTTAAAACGCATTAATCTAAATGGTTGCTTGTGTGTCTGCGAGCATACATTCGTTATCTCACCCACGTTCCCCCCTCTTATTTCCGACCATACTGCGCTCTCCTCCCAGCTGGTTCCTATATAGCTAGTTCACTGACCTGCTTACGCAGGAATCTCAAACACTGGGAATTGTGTTATATGAACGCCATTTTGATTCTATTGATAGGTCACAGTGCACGTTTTATTCTAAATGTGAGCCATAATGAGGGTCAGGTACCCGTAGTTTCCTGATCAGCTTACTTTGTACAGGTCAGCCGCTGTATAATACGTATCGTCTTTGAGACCAGACTGCCCCCACAGGCAAGATAAATAGGGTGGTCCCACGAAGAGGAACGCAGCACACCGTGTACTATAGTGGAATGATAACGAGGTAGCTGCTTATATGCTGTTTCGAATACGTGTGCTAATATTGAGATTGTAGGAAATATTTATTGTAATGGTGTTTGTTTTGTATCGTTCATGTTACAGGTTGGACAAAGCACTGACACCCCCTCTGGCTGTTAGTAGTCGCCGAGCTCCAGCTGATTGCGTTGAGTCCCTTGTGGACACTTGAATGATCAATTAATCCAAACTGAGCAGTTTATGACTATTCGGATCGCTGTGGCCGCTCGTGTCGGCAAAGCCATCCACCTTTTTTGACCGAGGACTATTTATAGAAGCGGATATCTTCTACTTTGAGTTGGCTGAAGATCCTTTACAAAGACAAGGCCCCTGTCTCCTCCCCAGCCTCGCTTACCATCATTTTATTGAAGACATGGGGGATACTGGTAGTGAGCGCAGCAAACCTTTACCAACTCGGTGTCCCTGTGGATTTTGGGGGTAAGATGTCGCACATCATGTATGATTTGTTGTGGAGATGGGTTAATGTAGGGATGGTAATTAATGTCGCCTAGGCTAAATCTATTGTTCTGTTGAGCAGACCGGGTGGGGGTTGGGGATATGTTGATGGCTGCGCTAGCTACACAAAACGGATTCATATCTGAATGTTTTTATATGTATATCACACCTCTGTCCGTGAGTGTCGTTATATCAAAGCGTCAAATCATGCTCTGGAGATTTCACAACTGTGGTTCTGAATTCTTTTAAGTTTTCTGGTTAGAATCTGATGTAGTCTAGGCTATTATTCGCTCTAGTTCGGCTAGCTATGTCTCCTTAAATGGAAATGTAGCCAGTCATATAGCTATGATATCTTAACTGAAGATGAAACGTTGGCACTTTATCCAATGTTCTCCAGACTGTCATTATAGTGTAACAACAATCGAGTTACAGCACGTTCCTCCCTCACATTCCAGTCTCCTTTGTGAAATAGAGGGACCAAGCAAAGATTAAAGCCTGTACTAGGAATAAAGCATGGTTGATTTGTTTGAACTGGACAGTTAATCCTGTATGGGGGGCTCTGATATATTGATCCCTGGAGGATTTTATTACCAAAACCATGGCCATCTTTTTCGTGCCATGTCATCAACTAGACACACTGAGGATCTTTAGGCTGTGTTGTATGTGAGTTAACCTAACGTAGTTGGTGTGAGAGAAACGCCTGAGTTCGGTTTTCAGCGGAAAAGGAAGCTAGGTTGAAAATGGCTGTATCCCTGAAAACCGGAACATCCGGCTGTTGGCAACTCTGCTTAGGCTACATGTGAGCAAACTGAATTACTCACACCTGTCAACGTCAGGTGACGCAATCGGCAGCTTGTTTACTGCTCCTGCAGTCAACACCTGGTTTGAGGTGTCTGAAGCTTGTCAGTTTTCCCCTCTGAAGGCCTCACAGCCCTCAGGCTTTCTTTCCTTGTAGCTGTGTGTGTGTGTGTGTGTGTGTGTGTGTGTGTGTGTGTGTGTGTGTGTGTGTGTGTGTGTGTGTGTGTGTGTGTGTGTTAAACATATCTCGTTTAGAGTATGCCTGATTACAGCCAGAGCCATGAACAAACATCCTGTTCAGTTTGAGCATTGCTCTTGATTAGGGCTGTCATGGCAGGCTGTCTCATTCAACATTGGGGGGGGGGGGGTCGTCTATCTCAACACTGCAGGATATAGGCTTAGCATTTAGAAGTTAGCTAATTTCAAGAAATTCGGGACGAATTTGCAGCGCCGTCCTGTTTTTAGGTCAGTTCTTACCTGATGCGTATAATTGTGACAGACCCATATATTTCTATGGACATTGTCCATTGGACAGACTATTTTAGATTTATATTCTGTTTTGATGAACATGTTAGCTCAGAGGAAGCCCTTAGGGAGATGGGAATGAAGGAAGACGAGGCATTAGGTTATAACGTGTAAGCTGAAAGTGGGTAGGCAGACAAGTCTTCAATGTAGTGAAGGGATTCAACGATTAAGCTAGCATGGGGCTGGTCAGAACTCACTTCTATGATGGAGGCTTTTCTAGATATAGGCCTAGTCACTGTACTGCTGAATGATGTGATGTACGTGGGGAAATTGCAGTTAAGGTCATGGTAGGACGAGTCCTAAATGTATCCCAGGTCAATTGGAACACTGCATTGGTCACGTTCCCTCCAGAGGGCACAATGGTCTGAATACCTTAGTCCCAGCCTCTCCTGTATTGACAGGGATCACAGAGCTCTGAACAGAAACGTCCCAGCATTGTGCCCTCCTATTAAAGTGAGTGTCAAAGAGACGTCCAGAATGAGAACAACCATTAGCCTACCTCTGTAAACGTGATGTCATTGAGGGAGGGATTCAAAGGAAAGCCTGAGAAAATGCTCCATGTTTAGTGGGATATGTTGTTGTTTCTGTTGAGTTGAACAGGTTTTTGATTCTATATGGAAGGGCTTGATTTGTTTGCATGTGTGTCATGGAGTTTAGTCTGCCATGTGTTGAGTTGGCCTATTCCACATGATTAGGATTGTGAGAGGATAGATTCTCTGTTTGGTTTTCTATTTAGGCCTATAGTTTGTCTAGGCTATTTCTGAATGCAACATCTTGTAATGTATGCAGTATTTCAAAAATGTGATTGATCCACAACATTGTTGGGCCTATCCATGTTGAGTTGATTAGCCTACTTCAGTCAGTAATGAACCCTCACTGGCGGTTGGTCAGTTGTCCTAAAAGGCAAAGCCCCTGTCAGAATGGCCACTTTGCACATCTGCTTAGCCTGGACTGATTAGCTTGTTAACCAGTGAGGGGCGAGATCAAAGGGATGTAGGTCTACCTGTTACTCATTTGTTGCAGTAAAAAAGATTGACTTTATTACTACCTTGTGCTCCTTCCCTTTTTCAATGGTTTGCGACGCCCTTTACATTCCCCTCCCCCATAGCCTTTGTTTGTTTCCCCCTTCTCTTCTTCCCTGCCCTGACTTCCTGTCATCTGTCACCCCTTGCCATCAGCTTGTTTTCACTCACTCTCTGTAGCTATGGCAACCTCATCGGTCCATCACTGTCTGGGTACAAAAAAATGGGTCACGTTTGAGTGTCCTGAGAGAGAATGGGGGGGGGGGGGGGGTAGTAAAATGTATTTTTTATTTGTTATTTTGCTACAAAGAGGATGCAGATTGCATTGACGTTGTTTAGTGGGCTTGGTACCATTTTCCATTCTGACTGATTTTTATTTTTTATCTCTCCCCAGGTCCAGTAAAACCATGAACCTCTGCTCAAAATGTTTTGCTGGTAAGCCTTTCCATATGTGTGGACAATGGGTTTCTGTTATGTGGCAGAGCTCTGTGTGTACCTGAGACATCAGGAGGGGGTGTGCTGTCTGGTGCAGATGGCTGCCTCGTGATGTCTCTGCTTTACGGAAACGCTGTTTTTGTTACACTTTTGATTAGCCAACATAATTGGTATGTTAGATATATTTTGTAGAAGTAAAGTATTTTCCCTTATGGTATAAAATCCCTGTGAAATTTTCCAAAGGCATGCAGTAAAAAAATACTAGGCTATTTTCAGGATCCAGAAAGGGCCAAAAACCTATTTCCAGATGGACTTTCTTACTGGCATAATGGCTATCTCTCAAGAATGAGTAAGATGGATGTCAGGGAAAATATTCACTGATAGCATGCATTGCTGTATGTCAGGGTGTTGGCTCTCAAGCCTGCTGTGGTAAAAGATTGCAGCTCTAAAATGGAGATTGTGACTGAAGTTTTGCGACTGGCTTCTGTAGTCCTTTTTGGGAGGCATGGAAGAGAAAAAGTATGCTGGAACTCTGGCAGTGTCCATGGAAACCAGTGAGCCCGGCAAAGACGGGACCTAAGGGGGCAGCATTGCTTAGAATAGATTGGATACACAAGAGCACAGTGACAGCAGAAATGAGTTCTATGGAGGATTAAGATATGGCCCAGCTGCTTTTTGAGGTTGTGCTGCCCTCATGGGGTAGGGAGTTGATGGATAGACTCTCTGGTAGCCTAAAATAGGGTCATGCTGAAGGGTCATTCTGAGGTATTGACCTCCTCTCAAGCCAGACCATCTGAGTTTATGATTGGTGTCTTGGGGGGAATGGTGCATGCCCCCACGTGTTTGTGTGCATTGAAGCAGCTGGTCTGTCAAGAGCCAATGTATGTGGCGCATGGGGCACTAAAAAGCATTATATTTAATCTGTCTTTCAGATATCGAGAAGAAGCAGACAGACGAGGACTGTGCCCCAAAACCCAGCCCGAGCACTGGGAGTAGCCAATCGGCTGTCTTCAGTAGCGAGATGAGCAGCAGCAGTAGCCAATCCTTATTGTCGTCACCACCCACTAGCTCCGAGCAGCCATCGGCATCACCCGAAGACCCTGTCCCCATGTTATCCACTACACAGGAGGGTAAGATGAAGGGTCCACAACTTCGAGTTTTGAGATGTTGCACTTTCTGAAACCTTTGAATGAATTACCATAGCGGAGTTCATTTTCAGTCATTCAATCAGACCTGGGTTCAAATACTATTTAAGGTATTTCAATTACTTTCACATAGATTTTGAAGAAAGTATGTATTAGGAAACAATTGTATATTTAAATACTCACATTTAAAATACCCCTAGGACCAAACTGACCTAGGTTCAAATGAATTTAGAAACAATTATTTGAAAAGAGTATTTATGAAATTATTTAAATACTTTCAAATAATTGCAATGAAGTAGTTGATTCATCCAAATTATTAGAAAATACACAAGTATTACAAATACTAGTGTCTGGAACTCTATTGGAGCAATATAACGTCATTCTTCCACAATAAATTCAATAATTTGGTGTTTTGTTGATGGTGGTGGAAAACGCTGTCTCAGACGCTGCTCCAGAATCTCCCATAATTGTTCAGTTGGGTTGAGATCTGGTGACACACACACACACACACACACACACACACACCCTTCAAACCCCCTCTTTCAAAGTCACTGATATCTCTTCTAGCCATGCTAGCCAAAATAATGGTCAACTGACCATTTTTATACATGACCCTAAGCATGATACCACCCTGCATCCCACTGCTGGCTTGCCTCTGAAGCTAAGCAGGGTTGGTCCCTGGCTAGAAGACCAGATGCTGCTGGAAGTGGTGTTGGAGGACCAGTAGGAGGCACTCTTTCCTCTGGTAAAAACATGTATATAAATCAAATCCCATTGCCCCAGGGCAGTGATTGGGGACATTACCCTGTGTAGGGCGCTGTCTTTCGGATGTTAAACAGGTGTCTTGACTCTCTGTGGTCACTAAAGATCCTATGGCACTTATCATAAGAGTGTTAATCCCGGGGTGCTGGCTAAATTCCCAATCTGGACCTCATACCATCATGGCCACCTAATCATCCCCAGCTTCCAATTGGTTCATTCATCCCCCTCTCCCCTGGAACTATTCCCCAGGTCGTTGCTGTAAATGAAAATGTATTCTCAGTCAACGTACCTGGTAAAATAAGGCTAAAATGGAAAAACAATTATGGGATGCTAATTGCTTAATTAACTCAGGAACCGCACCTGCTCTCAATGTACACTTAGTGTACAAAACATTAGGAACACCTTCCTAATATTGAGTTGCACCCCGTTTTTGCCCTCAGAACAGCCTCAATTAGTCGGGAATGAACTACAAGGTGTCGAACGCGTTCCACAGGGATGCTGGCCCATGTTGACGCCAATGCTTCCCACAGTTAAATTCGCTGGATGTCCTTTGGGTGGTGGACCATTCTTGATACACACAGGAAACTGTTGAGGGTGGAAAAACCCAGCAGTGTTGCAGTTCTTGACATAAACTGGTGCACCTGGCACCTACCATACCCCATTCAAAGGCACTTAAATATTTTCACCCTCTGAATGGCACACATACATAATCCATGTCTCAATTGTCTCTGCTTAAAAATCTTTCTTTAACCGGTCTTCTCCCCTTCAGCTACACTGATTGACGTAGACTTAACAGGTGACATCAATAAGGGATCATAGCGTTCACATGGTCTGTCATGGAAAGAGCAGGTGTTCTTAATGTTTTGTACACTCATTGTATATACTGTATGTGTTTCATGATCTGACATGGTGACAGCCTGCTTCTATTTCTGCGTCTGGAGGAGTGGTGCTGTGTGTCTCACTCTGCTGGCAATGCATGTACTCAGCCTGGCCCAGTTAGGAAGCATAGTGGGGCGACATGGTTGCACTGACAATCTGTTAAGGCCTGCTTGCTTCTCCCAGGATTTCACTTAAGGTCTCTAGTTTTAAACCAAAAGCAGTATTTTTTTATTTTTATATATATATATTTTTTTTTTTTTACCTTCATGTTAAGAATGTAAGGCTATGTTGACATAAATAGAGACTTGGCATGTCAGGATTTTTATATGGATTTGAAATGACTTGAGCTTATCTGGTTGCATAACATTGTCTTTAAATTCTTCAAGATTTTTTGTTCTCCAAAGCTGTATCTAATTCCCTGCTTCTTGGTCTAGGTAACACCCATCTGGGCTCTTGATCAATGAGGAATGTTTCTTGTCTCACTTTATTTTTCTTCTCCACAGGAGTATTGTCATGTACAGAAACCGCCCAAGGCACCCTCTGTACACCCACAAAACGGCCTTGCGAATCAGGTACAGCCTTGCTCCTGCTCCCTGTGTGTGTTTGTGCGATACTGTACGTCCCACGTTGGACTCTGTGACTCTGTAACCTTCTGTTCTTTCCGCTTCAGGGCCGGAGAGCGAGGCGTCACCGGAGAAACGGGCACGGGGGGACTCTGAGGGGGAGGCGGCTAGCGAGGAGGCTAGCCGAGGGCCCAAGCAGAGAAACCGCCGGCGCTGCTATCGCTGCCAAACCAAACTGGAGCTGGTGCAGCAGGAACTGGGCTCCTGTCGCTGCGGTCAGTACTACATGGGAACAACACACACACATCTGCCCTTGGTTTCCATGTCTCCTCACTGTGACTTCACTCATTTTAACATTATTTTCTTCTTCCATCTTTCTCTCTTTCTGCCTCATTCTTCCTCTCCTCTTTGTCTCCTAGGCTACGTGTTCTGCATGCTCCACCGTCTACCTGAGCAGCACGACTGCCTGTTCGACCACCTGGGGCGCGGGCGCGAGGAGGCCGTCCTCAAGATGGTGAAGCTGGACCGCAAGGTGGGCCGCTCGTGCCAGCGCATTGGAGAAGAGTGCTCCTGAGTTGCCCCCGTTGACCGCCGGTCTCCACACGAGGCACTTCAAGAGAGGGGGAAGGGAGCGAGGGAGGGGGGGAGAAGAGGGAGAGAGCATGGTTGTAATAGACCCACCATTCTGGATCTGACCATTGTTGATCCACTCCTGTTAGTCTTGACAGTTTGGACTGACTTGGACACTGTCACCATGGAAACCTCTGGAGCCACGCTCAGTCACTATCGCATGTTCATTTTCACAGCCTTAACTCGCCCGAACTTCAGATTCAACAAGGACCCTGTAAAGAAGGATCGGTCAGGTATTATTATTTAAATTTTTTAGCACACCATAGCGCAACAATACTCCTCTTTTCCCTCTGCTTCACTGATCACGAAAGACTGTCTGCAACAGTACTTTCTATATGAAACTGACCAATCTCTCATTACTGGCTCCTTGGTCATCTTTGTCAGCAGGTTTTCACTATGTCAATGGTCACTGAGGAACGGAATATAGCCCTGTCTGTCCCTAGACAACTCCACAGGTTGTAGGAGGGTGGGATATTGACCTTTAACCCCCCACACCTTTTCTCCTTTCCTTGCCCAATGGCTCCTGCATGGCATTGGATTGAATTGGCATGTATGTGTTGCGTAAGGACGTCGTCCCACTGGTCCTGGGTCAGTTGTGTGGCCGTGTTTGTTCCTATGAGACTGCCAGACTGGTTTGACCACTAACCTTTGTACTGCAACCAGCCTCCTCATCCTCCTCTGCTCCTCTCAGTTGGATCAGAGTATGAACAAATGGACTAGAGACACACACAAGCAGAACCTCTCTGAAGCAGAAGCTCTTCTCTGCCTGCTGCCCTTTGAATGAGTGATGCTGTTCATGCTCTTTCTGTTTTGTAATACCCCCTGCACTGTCCTTTACTCCCTCTTCTATACATACAACATCCCTGACTCCTTGGACTGTCAAACCATGGCTCTGTTCATATGGCCATACTAGAATACCACTTAGAATGCATGCCTGATACATTGGTTCATTCTAAGTAGTATACTGCTAGTCTGTTCCATATCATTCTCCTCCTCCTACCCTAGTCATGCTACTTTACTGTGCTGGTCCCAATGCTCATCTCATTCTTCACTCACTCACTCCCCCTCTTCTCTGCTTCCTTCGACTCTCACTGGCCCCCTTCTGGTTCGAGGAAAGATTGAAGGATAGAGGGAGTGATGTGTAGAATGGTAAAAAAAAAAAAAAAAAAAGAGCAGACTGTGGCTGGTTTTTGATATTTTTGCGACCTGTTCTCTCGAGTGCTAATGGAAGAAATTAATATCTTTCTGCATCTTAAAATAAATTGTATTTAACCATATGGTTTTGATTTACTTACACACTAGCATAGAGCTGCATATTTAGTTAAATGTATTACAAAAAAAAAAGTTATCCTTTTATTGTGTTTTGCCTTTTTGCTGAGGATGATTAAACTGGATTAGAGGAATGGGTAGTCTGTGTGGTCTTTAACATTGAATTATGATGGGAAAATAAGGGGAAACATTTGCATTCATTTCTACAGAAACTTTTAAGCAGTCCATCAAAACAAGTGACAACGGAAAGTGCAAACCTGATTCCATGGTGAATTTGGCAAATGTCCGTAATGAAAAATAAAAAGCTCTAAAATTGAGAAATTGTATGTCTTTTTACATATGCAACTTGTCTGAAAAAAGTAGACCACCTACTTCTGACTGACCAATGAATATCATACGATTTTAATCTGTTCACGTGTCTGTGCCTGTACACTTATGCTTTGTTGAGATGACAACTTAATCTAGCCCTTGTTTTGAGGATTGCCCAATACCTTACCCCATATTAATGTTATCTTGATCAGAGAAGTGGGGCAACGCAGAAGGTAAAGTTGATTTCATGATGAATGGCTTTATAACAATCCATCAGCCGCAGAGGCCTGGCAAAGGAAAAAAAGTCGCCTTTACTCAACCCTAGCTTTGATTTCTGAGTGATGAACAAGACTTGGAAGGATAGTGTTGCAAGACTATTCAACCTGAAAAGAAATACAGAACTTAAAACAGAAATGTTAATGCCAGTAAATTGTATTTTGAACATATTTACACTGGTCGTTGTCTTTCAATAACTGTTACAAAATTGTCAGCATTTGAGGTTGATCATAGGTTCTGTAGTTGATTGACACATTCACATACTATAGGTGTTATTAGAAGCTCCAGTGGGAAATGTCACTTGAATGACTCTCCAAATCAGAATTACACCACTGACCTTGTTAACCAAATCTGTTTTTGACAATTACAACCTTAAGGTTAATGTAGCTAGTCTGACATATTTGCTGAAACTACATCTCAAGTACTCAAAACACAAGTTGGCCAATTTCCCCAAACCCGATCTTGCTAAATGAAACACAGCAATCAAAATCATGTACTCCCTGCTCAAAATGAAACACTGCATACAAATGAGATACACATCAACTGAATCTAACTTGGTGACAACCGAGATCACATTGTGACATATTCAAAACACTATCAGAACCTATTTCAGTGTAAAGACTAAGATCGTTATACTGTATATTGTTTGCGTGTACTCAAACAAGGGAACACAATTGGAAAAACTAATTTTTGCAACATGGCTCAATGCATGGCTAACAGCATACTGTAAGCACACATACAGTAAATATTTTGCATATGCAAAGGAAGAAAAATAGCCTATTTGTACTACTGTATGTTAGATCAACTGTAAGGAATAGATAAACTGTCAAAATACAGTAAAAATCATAAGTCAAGAAACACATACTCCATTGCGAAAACAAAATCAGTAAATTCTGTTTTGGTCCGGCCACAGATTTTCATCAACATCACAGGCGATATTATCCTTGGCAAGACAGCAGGGGAAGTATCTTCTGACATGATGCATCAACTCCTGACAGGAACCTGCTGGAATGTCACCACAGGCCTCCTCCATTGCCTGGAGAAGGGCCATACGTTCATGGGGTTTGCGATCATACACCTTCCACCGCCATGCTGAAAACAACTCCTCAATGGGGTTGAGAAATGGGGAATATCAAATCAAATGTTATTGGCCACATGCACCGAATACAACAGGTGCAGACATTACAGTGAAATGCTTACTTACAGCCCTTAACCAACAGTGCATTTATTTTTAATAAAAATAAAAAAGTAGAATAAAACAAAAAAGAGTTGAGAAAAAAAGAGCAGAAGTAAAATTAAATAACAGTAGGGAGGCTATATATACAGGGGGGTACCGGTGCGGGGTCAATGTGCGGGGGCACCAGGTAGTTGAAGTAATATGTACATGTGGGTAGAGTTAAAGTGACTATGCATAAATAATTAACAGAGTAGCAGCAGCGTAAAAAGATGGGGTGGGGGGGCAGTGCAAATAGTCCGGGTAGCCATGATTAGCTGTTCAGGAGTCTTATGGCTTGGGGGTAGAAGCTGTTGAGAAGTCTTTTGGACCTAGGTGGGAGATAGATAATTGTTAACCTGGAATGGTCATGGAACCAGTTGCGGGCCTGAGCAGCCCGATGGAAACTCACGTTGTCCCAAATTAGAACATACATTTGCTGCTCAGAATCATCTGGCCCTCTATGCTCTGGCTGAAAAAGATTGTCATGTGATGTGTTCAGGAAATGAAGGAGATGGGCAGTGTTGTATGGTCCAAGGTTGGCGTGGCGGTGGAGGACCCCATTGTGGCTCATAGTTGCACATATGGTGACATTTCCCCCGCGCTGGCCAGGTACCTCAATGATGACCAATGATGTTCCTTCCTCTCCTCGTCTTTGCTCAATTGAATCCAGCCTCATCTATGAATAGGAGTTCCTGGGGGATGGGACTTGCATCCAACTCCATGATTCTCTGAAATGACAGTAAATACTGTAATTGCGGTATAGTAAAGTTCCTGGCAACATCAATGAGTCTAATGTTTCAAGAGTGTAACACTAGTACATTGCTTACTTGTATTTGTACTGTTTACCCTTCACTCTTTGGGAATTCCTTTCAAATGGGACTCTGTAGATTTGCTTCATCTGGAGATGGTGTTTCTTAAGGATGCGGGCTATGGTTGATAAGCTCACCGATGTTATGGGTTTTCAATAATCTGTTGTTGGATTTCCCACAGTCTTATGGCATTATTTTGAACTACAATTTGCACAACGACAGCCTCCTGTTCATCTGTAAATAGACACGTTCTACCACCACGTGGTGGTCGTCTTTCAGTTCTACAAAAACAAAAAAATAGCATACAGTACAGTAAACACTACAGTAATACAGTATACAAGATAAACATGTTACAAAGTAGTAGCTCCTAATTTCATACATACAGTAATACATGAAACATTGACTTTGCTTCACCTTACAGTATGTATTGGAATCTACAGCCTTTACTGTGCTTTATGTAGTAGTAAAAGTAGTAGATAGGTCCATCGTCTGCAGTACATACCTATTCTCCCTTTGGAACGTCCGGATGATGGACGCTACGGTGAAGCGGCTCAGATTGGGCTGCACTCTCTGCCCAGCCTCTCTCAAGGTCAAACCATGGTTGACCACATGGTCCACCACAGTCGCCTGAATTCCATCAGGTACTTGGTCCTCCTCCACGTTTCCTCCTGTTCTCCAAACACAGGAGTACTCACCAGTGGCCTTTTTATCCATACCAAAGGTCTGGTTGCAAAGTGAACATTTACGCAATTAGTGTTTGCAAATGTGAAGAGTGAAAGTGATCAATTGGTAATTGAGCTTAGCTTGTTGAACAGTGTTGCTTTTCATATGCGCACAAAATATTTTGTTTTTTGCCAAATGTTTGTTATAGAATTGCAATCTGAGTGTAAAGCAAAATGTGCCAGTAGTATTGCCGATTTGGTGTCTGGTTCTGCTAAATGAGTTACAGGTTTGGGTCATTGTGCCTCATGGGCTAGTTTTAGTGAGGAAACTATTGGGAAAAACTGTAATATGGAGTTGGTCCCCCCTTTGCTGCTATAACAGCCTCCACTCTTCTGGGACGGCATTCCACTAGGTGTTGGAACATTGCTGCTGGGACTTGCATCCATTCAGCCCCAAGAGCATTAGTGAGGTCGGGCACTGATGTTGGGCGATT